AGTATGGACGTTATTATGAACATATAGTATATTAATCCGATAGACCTTGTAACATTAAATTTAACGATAATTATTAACATCATACTTGCATTGACATTAAAACAACCTTCCGTGCAAACATCTTTTTAGATTGAAACTGTCCCCAAGAAGGACGAAAATGGCTTATTCCGCACCTTGTAATGCAAGATCTGTCTACTTGATCACCTACTCACAGGCAAATTTAGAAATTGTACCCAGCCGAATAGATTTTGCTACAATTGTGAAGGATGCGTTTGAAAAAACTGGTACTGGTAACACAGTAGTGGAAAGATGGTGTTGTTGCAGAGAGAATCACCAGGACGGCAAACCGCACTATCACGTTGCAATTAAGTTAAATATGCAAAGAAGTTGTCAGTGCGTGATTATATCGCTGAGCACTACAACATACAAGTCAATTTTTCAGATAAGCCTGGTAACTATTATGAGGCTTGGCTGTATTGTTCCAAATCTGATACGGAAACTGTGACAAGTGAAAGTCATCCAGATTTTACAAGAGCTCCCAAGACCACCGCTGCAACTTCACAGAAACATGCGGCTGCCAAAAGTCTAACAGTAACAGTGACACATCTTGTAAAAAAAAGAAGAAATGCTTTTAATGCTCTAGATCTACATCACATAGTGATAAAGAACAATTTAAGAACTAAATGTCAACTTCTACGCTTCACTAGTAAGCAAATGGAAGAAGGAAGGACAGACATTGCCCTGTATATTCTAAACAACACACGCTCATGCTTTAAAGGTAATGGAGACTTGCTGGGAAATGGTAGAGGCAGTTGACAATGAACAGAGAGAAAGAAAAACGCGGTTGCAGATATTGGAAGAAGCTCATGAAGGAGAGTGTGTTACTGGTTGTGACGAGCAATGGAAATATCTGGCCTTGCAGACACTGGAACGAAACAACTGTTCTGCTAAGGAATTTGGAAACGTGATAAAAAATGCCTTGACCAATCGACAGGGAAAACGTAGACGGGCGTAACATTATGATAATTGGTCCTGCCAATTGTGGCAAAACATTTATCCCGAGACCATTGTGTCACATATTCAACGCCTTTGTTAACCCTGCAAGTGGAACGTTTGCGTGGGTAGGAGTTGAAGAAGCCAAAATATTTTTTTAAATGATTTTAGATGGACTGAGCATATCCTTCCATGGCAAGACTTGCTGCACTTATTACAAGGTGACAAGATCCATATACCTACTCCAAAAATGCACTTTGCACAGGATGTCATATTGGAGAAAGACACTCCCATATTTTGCACTGGCTCAAGCCAATATGAAAGTTTTCATGGGCTGGTGATGTCAATGAAATAGAAAGTCAAATGATGGAAATTCGTTGGAAAATTTTCATTTTTTTCATCAAGTGATGACTGCTGATGCGAAAGATGTCCCGTCCTGTCCAAGGTGTTTCGCTAATTTGGTACTGGAATAGATTAATAATCAGACATATAGAAGTACACATACTGAGTTCAAATTATTTTGATAATTGTTGTGTTCATATTAATATTGTTGGAAAAACTATCGTTTTGGTAATGTAATTAGCACAATAAGTATGCATCTATATAATTTTCGTTTAAATTTCTTTACATAATTGCATTATCCACTATAGTCTATAAGCATATTGATTTTCAAGTCGAATATTTGTATATATGCATGTCCTAGGACATTCAATGAAGCATATAGAATGAATGTTAGCCAGGCAGTTGACACACGGTTGACAGTGCAGTTGACACATTTTTGTAGGGAAATAACTAAATGTGTGAAATGAACAACGTTTGACGGTTGACACTAATTGAAAAAAACACAAGTATAACTATTTTTTTAAGATATGTTGTCAACCGTTGCAAAATTGATATGGATTTATATCCAGACTTAGTGGAGGAATGCTGTGCACTTGTACCCCAAGTTTTTTCATTGCTTCCCTGGCAATAGCAGAATTTTGGGAAGGATCACCGTCTTGTAAAAACGTTTTTCCTGACGGGTTGCAACTGTTTCGAATCAATTTTCTAAAGTTCCTTTTTACAAAATCAGCGAAATATGGGCTGTCCATTTTATCATACTGTTCGCAAAAATACACTCCCTTTCCATATGATATACACACCATGAAATGTGCAACCTTGCTGCTGCTACCTGCTTTCTTTCCCTTTGATGTACAACCTATAGATAATCCCTCATTTTTCTCTCTCCAGACTTTAGCTCCAGGAGCTCTAGCAAGAAGAGATAAGGGCAGAAGCTTCACTGGTGGGTAAAAAGTGTGCCAGAATGTCAGCCGACTTCGGGTGTGGCCGCCATGTTGAAAGCAACCAAACCAGAGGAATTTTATAGGAGTTAATATGGCAGAATACGAAATAGAGCCTCTAAAAGTGCTCTAGCTTTTTATGTATCCAAGCAAAACTCATAATACTTTGAAATATCATAAAGAAGAGGCTGTTCTTTGATTTAATTGTCACTACGAGGATGAGAAATGAATTTAAGCATGGAGTTTGGCCATTGTCAAACATCAATTAATTTCACCTCGGTCTTTGGCAAATAGTGATAAACATATAAAGTTATATAGCTTATGTGTGGTTAGTCCGATCGCCGTAAAATATGTTTTGAGTGATAAATTGGTGATATTTCATTGTGTACAAAAGAATTAAGGACGTGAATGCCATGAACAATGAAGGAAATAAATCGAGTTCATCAGACCTTCTGTGAATCTGTGATCAACTATAGAATCGTTTAATATAAAATAATATTGCGATATGAAAGAAATTGCTAGACCTACTTCTTCTAAAATAAATTTTAGAGATAATATATTGACTTGAACCTATTAAAATCCTTTAGCTGTGACTTTACAAATTTGGTATCACAAGTGTGTCAAGGCCTCCTATGACATTATCAAGGAACCTCATTTACAAAACAGACAATAAAAGACCTGATTTATCTTAAAGACAGTTTAAATTATAAATCTGTGAGAAGATTCTAATATACACTCTAGTTTTTAAGATACATAATTATTAACAGTTCACTCTACAATGAGGGGAAAATAATCTGAAGATGAGAATTTTCTCTGTTACTTAGGGGCTGTTTAGGGGCTGTTTACATGAGCCCGGGTAGCCATGCAGGCTGGCCTGGTTAACCAGGCTGAAGGCCTGGCTAGCCAGGTTACATGAGCTGGTGACTTTACATGGGAAAATTCCAGCCCGGTTATCCGGGCGTCCCCTTTGACTCAATTGAGATCTCGGCTAGGCAGATTCTTGTTAAATGATTTGTATTAAGCTGGGTGCCTCGGTTAACAGGACTAGTTAGGCTCATGTAAATAGCCCCTTAGTTATTAAGACTTGTTGGCAGAGTAAAATAGCAATAAAACTAGTTTCAACTTGCAACAAATCGGATTTTGGTGCATCTAAGTTGTAGTGTTGTTTTTACAAAGGGAAACCAAGTAAATGAAACTTAACATCTAATGTATTCTACTGTGTACAAGTTGTACAAGCCCAAAAATGTAAACAACACTTTGATTTGATTTTAGTTCCATAAATCCATATTTTTTATCCATATTATCAATCCATATTTAATTTGATTTTAGTTCCATAAATCCATATAATTTAGTTCCATAAATTTGAGTTTAGATCCGTAAATCAATTAAGATCTGCAACTGTCCTACATGCACAAATGCCATCCAATGTAATGACCTAGATGATAACAGGAAGCAGTTTTGTTTCTTCAAGGCGTTTGATCAAACAGAAAACACATTTGAAGATGTTCATGTTCCAACAAATTGCTTTCTGGACTACATCATGAAAGATACAAAAATTGTTTTTGAGGTTGTGCATTTACTACAGCTTGAAATTTGCCAACCGTGAACTTTCCAACACTAAAAAGACAATATTTGTAGGTAGCACATCTTTAACCATGTGCACTGGACAATACGCTGCGTTGCCAAAACATTTTACTTAACAGTAACTTTTACAAGCTATATTGCTTAAAATCTTTTACACCAAAGTACATAAGAACTGAACTGTAAGATACAAGGTTGGTGTTAAATCTAATGTTGATGGTAATCATACACAGGAGAAATTACTAAGATGTTGTTACACTGAGTAAATCTACACCAGGCAAGCTGAAAAATCAACTTGACCACAGTAAGAATGCAGCCCACAACCTCTGGTTTACAAGACCAATGCATTCCAGACTGAGCTACACAGTTTGAATGTGCAATATTTTATTATTTTGGAGCTTATTAGTCTTGCTCCTTCAATATTCTTATCTCTACGATGGTACATCAAACAATGCTGATGGTAATTGAAAACAGGTTAAATCATTAATTAAGATGGTGTTTGCTGAGTAAATCTACATGAGATTGGTGTGTTGCAATTTTGGGTCATGAACTGTAACTTCTGGCAAGTTAGTCTGCTCCACCATCAATTGCTTGATACAGATGTGAACAAATATCTTACTCATTACTGTTATCCAGCAATCAAAGTTTAATATCAAAGTTAGAAATTATAAACCAGTTCTGGTGAAAATGGATTCTACTCGCGCAGTTTACTTAGTTTAGTCCAAAAACGTTTTTGTTAATTACGAAATGAAGCTCAGTACAAAGACATCACATCCCCTTTCACTGATCAGGTATATAATTTAGTACGAATAGTAGTACGAATTATAAAGATATTCACAGTATAATATGCGCCTAAAATTAAAAAAATTCAACCTACTGCGTTCTAAAAACAAGACATGACGCATTTTTCTTTAAGCTAAATTGAATAGTAGTTGCAATAGTTTCAAGCTACACTCAGAAAAATAACATAATGCGTATATATCCATCGGTGCCAAAACAGCACATACAGTTTGCAATGCGGTTTAAATTGACAATTTTAGCATCATTCAATAAGCTTTTATTATAATAAAATGAATAATCTACCTTTCTTTAGTACGTCCTGAAAATTTCAATGACATCCACGATAAAATAACGACGATATACCCATTTAAAGTTATGAAATACAAGTTTCGCCATATTAGTTTATAATGTTTTGGACCAGAGTTGGTTGCTTTCAACATGGCGGCCAAGATCCGGAAGTAACATGCGCCGGCACAAAAACTTCAAAGGTTCCGACTCGAGTGAAGCTTCTGCCTATTTCTATTTTGTGTATTTTAGTACGGGAAAATATGCCCGTTCGCGGGTTAGGCGTTGACAGCACACGTCGGAAACCTAACCCATTCCCATCATACAACGCGACCGACTGGGGACGAGTCAGGTGAAGAGCTTCAAAAACATTGCGTTAATTTAAACTATTGTTCAAATATGGCGAATCGACAAAACGAAAATATCACATGACGTTCCGACGAAAATAATTAACAGTTATTCTACGAATTCGAGTCGAATATGAGCTGATAGCCGATGAGGCGCGTAGCGCCGAATCGGCTATCGCTCATATTCGACGAGAGTGAGTGGAATAACTGTTTTATTAAATGAGTCACGCAATTGAGTGGAATACACGCAACGCGTGTTTACAAAAAGGCACAATCGTGTAAATATTGCCAAATGTTTGTACAAAATAAATGATTGTTTTATGTTGAAAATGGACATGATCTAAATTAATCATACAGAATTTTTTAGTGACGTTCTATTTCAGTACCCTGCAATTGTTTCCGGTGGGCTGTCCGTGTGCATACGATTTGAAACAGTTGCTACTTTGCTGTCGAAAAAGTTCGAATGTTTACATGAAAATAGAGGCAAGTAATGCATTTTCAACCTCGTAAACTGTATGAGCCCCTATTTTTACGCTTATACCTAAGATATCAAATAAAAATACATGAAGCAGAGAACATTTTTAGAAAGTTTTATCGTGAGGCCACGGCCAGTTTTTATATTTATTTCCGTTCCGGTCATCACCAAAATTACACTAAAGCCGGGCTTGAATATACAACAAATTTAGAATCTCATCATGCAAGTACAAAAATATTTAACGTGTAACCAAAATATGCCCATGAAATCGAAATTAAGAGCTAAATTTTCAAACTAGACCCTTCTCGAGCTGGTTTTCATGAAGGAAGTTCACATTTCGGTCTTTGATTCTTGGCAAAAATTTGACCACAACACGTGCGAAGCAACTGGGTCTCAAAGACTCAGCTAAAACATTGTGAGCCCCTATTTTCCTGACGATATGTTTGATACCCACAAACGCCGAAAAGTTTTTTCTTTTCATTTAGCTATATTTAAAATTGAGGCCACAGGCTATTTTTGAGAAAATACTGTTCAAAGTCAAGCTACTTTTACATATTTTCAAAATTTGTCAAATTTCGCGAGCTTGTATTTTGAACTTAGACAGCTGAAGTTACATTAAGAAACATAGAATGGAAAATTTGAGGCATATAAAGTTAATTTCAAGTTCATTCTCATATCACGTCTTTCTTCGTTTATTCCGGTTTTAAACAAGCCACAGATCGACGTATACGGTATTTACTCCCATGTTCACGTCGCCATATTAACTTCTTCCAATCACTCGATTACAAAACAAATCATCCCAAAACAAAGAATTCATAGTCGACTTTTAAAAGAATAACCGTTAATTTGTAAATCGTTGAATGGAAAGCAAAAAATCGTCAGCTAAAACAGCTTCTTGCTAACTTTCTGCTTTGTTTTGAATGTAAATGCATGAGCTTTGTTTCTGCCCGCGATTTTTTGGTCAGCGACGACAAATTTCCCACCTGTTGTTTTATTATATACACAAGGTCTGAATTCACAGACTTTGCTTTCCCGTTATTTTCAATATTTTTCTATTTTGTTTATGTTTTTACCTTCGCTCTTTCGGCCGATTATTTTTTAAAAAATATATATTTTTAACCATTTTAAATTTTGAAAATTTATTTGCTAACCTGTAAACAATTTGTGGGAGTTTTTCATTGTGTTTTTTAATCTTGTAAAGGCTATAAAAAGCGAACAACTTGGCGTTTTCTCGTTCGCAAACGTCGGAATTTCAGTTTGGGCCGCCATTTTGTTTTTCTATATCCTGCTAGTAGAGAACCAATGAGATATTCTGCAATCTGATTGGTTCTCTACTAGCAGGATATTAGCTCATTTCCTGCTAGTAGAGAAAAACAAAATGGCGGCCAAACTGAATTTACGATGTTTTGCAAACGAGAAAACGGAAGTTGTCGCTTTTTATAGCGTATAGCCTTCACAGGATTAAAAACACAATGATTAAAAAGGATTAAAAAGGATTAA